GTTCCCTTGTTCCTGAAGTACAATCGAACAAATACAGCTTCTTTTATAAAATTGAATTTTACGATTTTTATTTTGTCATGTCGCCGACGCGTTTAAAATTCCCTGATTGTCAAAATGAAATTTAGAGCACCAAGTCATCTTCTTATCACGTTTCTGTGGCACGAAAATGAGCCGTTCTTGATTTGATCAAAAAAGTAAGGTACCTTATTCATTAATTTTTGTGTTACCTGTAGAAGCACATATACAGGTTGGCAACAAATTAAAATTTTATGATGGCATACCTGATTGTCAAATTGAAATTTTGGGCGCCAAGTCAGTAGCGGCCACCTTCTAATCACGTTTGTTATGCGTCTTCGCCTTGGACGAATGAGTATAAAGGATAAAGTTAGAGCTCAATTAAGAGATCCCGCGCCAGAATAGACGAAAGTAATAAAAGATGCTTCTATATGACTGCCGCTTCAGTGGCGTATCCTAAAGGTATTCATGAGGGACCTCACATCTCAAAAGTACATTCAAAGAAAATAAAAATTTTTTAGAATATCTAAAACTTGGTATTTTTACTCACAGAAATTTAGTTTGTATAATATAATCAATAAAAAACGCAAACTCACACAATAGTTTGAAATGTTGCAGTATCGGGTGTCTGGAAGATGGCAGATTTTTCAGACACCCGCTACGCTCTTAACAATCTGATGAGTTCCTTCTCACATTTTGGTATAGTTATAATTATTTTAAAATTGGTTCGTTTGCTACGTTTAACAACTAAACAACACATTCATTATATTATCAGTTATCACAATAACTACTAGTAATAAAACTTTTAGTGAATATTTCGCTCGCCCATAACCATGTTTAAATTGACATGTGATCGACTATGTCAGTTTCATTCTAAAGCACAACAAAAATACGCATAAGGGCGTTGTAGTACGAGCGGAGTTTGGGGCTCCCGGCCGCGGCTGTTCTCCCCCCGCGACGGTGATTCTATCTATCGCAAGCCTACCGCAAAGCAATTCTCTATTACGGACAAGCCGTACGTGCAAGCCGTTACGGTCGCAAACGCGCAGTTGGGTCCCAACTATAGGGTAGAAGCCGACAGCGTTACCTTATTTCGACCGCCCCTGAATTTTATTCTAACCTGTACCTTTCGTGCAGGTGGCACGATAAATCTCGCCAGTTCAACTAGGAACCGCGCACTCCGCTTCCGCCACGTTTTTCTGTGTTATTTAAACTACAATTGAACAAGTGTCAAAGTTTCAAAAAGAGCAATAAACAACATTTAAATTCGCCATACAATGTTGTGAAATTTTAAACAACAAGTAATTCTTATGTGAGATTAAAATTGGGAGATGGAAACATCAACAAAATATTTACAAAACAAAAACTAGCAAAGATTTATAAAAACAACAAAAATATCTGGTGTGAAATAAACTTGTGAAGATAAAATATTGCGTGAAGTTAGAAACTACAGAGAATGAAAGTTTACGTTCAATTTAACTTATACAACAAATAAAATTGCTGAAGTTAAAATTGGGAGATAAAGAAAATTGGATGAGGTGAAAAATTGTAAAGCTAACAAAATTACATGAGATTAATATTTGCCACACTTTATCAACCAAACAAAGAATTTACATTGCGTTAAATGCTGTCTTGATCCAAGTGCTTGGTTACTTAAAATAATCTGTTTTGAGAATTTATATCGTAAACTGTTTACCCCAAACAAAACACATGATAAATAAACACAAAAATATCCAGTCAGCGTCGCGAGGAATAAGCATCTCGGTGATGTAATTTTTAGCATTGCGAGAAAATGCCTCGGTGATGTAAATTTTTAACTTTGGGAGGAAATGCCTCGGTGATGTAATGATGATAATAATGATGATAACTTCCTAAGGGAAGAAATTATTTTAAACCCCCGCCACTTCACGATATTATGAATTTTGTTAATTTACTGCCGTAAATGAACAATTAGCAATCTTGTGTGAAGAATTAAGAAGTGTTATAATGTAACACTTAAGTATATGCATCCAGAAACCTCATTCATACTTTCGTAAACAAGGAGGGTGTTATCCTGACTAAGTGAATTTCCTGAAATCTCCTAGTAACGATTTATCTAAACCAGCGCCTGATTGTTAAATTGTGTTAGAACTAGTTAACGACTAAACTCTTAACATGAACTGTGAATTTACAAACAATGAATTAAATTTACACGCGTCGGCAAAAAATCACATGTTTACCGATTAAAAAGCCGCAAGAATTAGCTGCGAGCGTTGGGGAAAGCTGTGATGTCGTCGTTACGATTAATTTTCGTTAAACAAAGACTTCCTTCCTTTTGTTAACTACCAAACCAACTAATTTAACCTAGTTAACTTACAGTGTCTTTTTCACGATGCTTCCACACATACCACCAAATCAACAATGACCACAAACCACCTATATAGAGTGGGTGGTTTGTGACAATGACGCTTTCACCTCTCTACCAAGCGGCCATAATTTCTACCAACCAACCCTCTAACTAAAATCCCCCAGTGAGCTACCAACTGCCAAAACTATTTAACGATTTGTTTGATTGAATTTTTTTTTAACTCAAATTATTCAAATGTGATTTCGCGCCGCTGTTAATTAATATCAGCGCGAAAATTTTATTCGAACTCGGTCACCGTTAATTTTAGGTCCCCTGGTGTTTTCCTTCCGGATAAATTTAAAAGAATCTGGTGTTTTGTTGCTGGATGAATTTGGAAAAATCTTTTGAGCACCTGGTGTTTATTTTTTATGATTTGAAAAAGTCTTGAGTTCCGCAGTGTTTTTTTTATTTCGGGGAACTCTTGGGTACGCACGGTGTATTATTTTGGATGTTCATGGTGATTTTGTTGTAAATTACATATTTAAAACAATTTTGGGGATCTTTGGTGTTCTAGTTTTGGAAAATTCCGACCTACCTGTTTTTGAGGTAATTTTAGGACGCCGTTTTTTTTTGAAAAATTTTAAACCATCTTGAGGTTCTAGGTATTCCTGTTTGGAAAGAATTTGAAAGTGCTTTGGAGCCTCTAGTGTCTTTTCTTGTAATAATTTAATTAAATTTCTTAGAGGATACGTCATTTGATAAAATCAGTCTTATCTTAACAGCTACTAGTACTACCCACCCACCCTCTCTTTTCTTAGAGGGTATGTCATTTGCCAAAATCGGTCTTATTTTAACAGATACTAGCCCCGCCCACCCACCCCCTCTTTTCTTAGAGGGTATGTCATTTACCAAAATCAGTTTTATCTTAGCAGCTCTACAGGCCTTTTCTTCTCTTAGAGAGTGAACATGTACCTTGGACAAAACGGTAAACATTTCCAACATTTATTGTGATGTTTAACCTCAATAAATTTGTTTCTTTTTATTGTAATGAATTAGTTTTATTTTTTAATAAGGTTTAGGCAACCAGTCATATAGATGCGTGTGGTCTTTGTCATGCGTCCTTGAGCATTTAGTAAAGTTAAAATCTGAGAGGCGGCACCTTTACATGACTTACTGCGATCATATATAGAAACCTGGTATTAGGAGATATATTGTGGTAACTGTTAGTAATTAGTGTATTAGTGAATACTAAAAAAAAAATGGAAACATGCTTGAAATGTACTCTTTGGTTTTACTTATTTTAATTGATTACACTTAAAAATGATTAAATTTCATAGGTTTTGTAATAAGAAAAAATGCAGTTTAGATAAAATTTTGTTTCTTTTTAGACACAAGTCATTAGTTAAGTTTTTTTAAAGTCATATATAGTACTTGTCGAAGATTCAAGCAATCATATACTACATAACATATTCAAATAACATCCGAAGTTTGAAGTTTGAATAATGCTTTAGATTTATAAATAAGTGCCAACTTAAAATTCAGAGAACTGCGTGTTGGTTATCTGAAAATAAATATTTTTATGTATTGTTTTTTAAAATTATTAGTAACCTTCATGTTGATAATTGACTATACTTAATCATATTATACGTATGTAAGATAGTCATTATCTCATGACCTCGTTGTAATAAAAGTTGTGTAACTCAGAGCATTTTACCTTTAATATGAAATTCTGAGAGATAATTATCCTCTACGAGTATTACAATTACGAGAACATTTAACAAAACTGTAAAAAGTCTTGCTTCTTTAAACCAACCTGTCGCATTTGAATGACTTTTATTCGCTAAATGCTAATTTAACAAAGTGCATGCAAACATGGTTAGGACATGCATCGAATAACAACTTCAAGTCATTCGTGGTTGGAAACAATTTGTTTTTTGTTTTCGAGTACATTTAAAATTTCAACAAAACTTCAATTAATTTCAGGCAGTGACCCTTTGTAAGACCGCCACTCCTATTTCTGAATTTCTGAACTGTCCAGGTGGAATGCAAGCCTCAACCAGACTAGTTGTGAACTTTGGACGCCTTTCGAGGTGTTTCAGACAACAGCAGTTTTGTGCCATGAATCATCATTAGCGCGACGATTTATCATCAAGTTTATTTGAACTAGTGCATTTAAAACTGGCGTACATCTGCCGCTGCAATAGGCTTATTTAGATTATACTTCATAACGTCGGGATTAAGAGTTAGCAGCTTATCTCGGTAAACCGTAAAGTGACACTAAACGCCGTACATGCGGGACCTATTATTTACACTTTTTTTAATCTGCAGTGTTTTCACTCCTTGTGTAAAATACTTGTAGCCATATCAGGGGTCGATAAAGCTCCACAAATTCACCCAACACTCCAGCACGATAAATTCCAGTGAATGTTTCCTGCTCCTGCAGCACTCCGCCATTTCCTATTCTAAAAATGTTCACGTTTCGATCCGACTAATCAAAAATGGAATTAGCGAATTTCGCAGTGTGGGTATGTTTGACAGACCCCGTCCCATCCAGCGGCGTCCCTTTGACTGCAGTGATTAGACGCGTCGAATAATTGATGAAAGGTCGTCCCATAAAACTTTCCACGATAAAACCCCTGACATGTTTTATTAATTTCAGTGCCGGAGAAGCGGCTCGAGCTGCGGCAGGAATACATCGGAGTAGACACGTTGCAGGTGGTGTGTTCTGCAGAGGGCGTTTTCCCGAAGCCCAATATGACCCTGCATGTGGGCAACAGGTAATAACTTGTGCACTGAAATTAATTAGATCCGTTTGTTTAGCACCTCGTTAAATTAAATCCACAAAGAAAATGCAACGGGTGTTTTGCACTCGTTAACATTTACGGTTGTAATGAAGACTCGTGTCGAAATGAAGAGAGAGACGTGTGGGTTCGTGTCACGAGTTGTGTTTAAAATTAGAATTTAATAAACTAACCAGTAAGCGACACAACAGAGGCAAAATAATTTCTTTCAGTGTTTAAAAAGCGAATTCGAATTGTTAAAATCTGAATTTTGACAAATTTTTAACATCGAATGTTTAAGGGTTAATACTTGAACAATTTTTTTCTCAACATCTTGAGCTTCAATCTCAAAATCTTTCCTTTTTTTTTTAATTTTGATACTTCAACTTAAGGAAAAAGACAAGTTCTTCTCAAGGTTTTGAGTTTTTCTCAAGATAAAAGGTCATTTTAAGAAAAAAGTCTCAAGATCCTATGAGTTCTTCACTCGATCTTGACTGCTTTTTAGAGTTAAAACATCAAAATTTTGCTAATAAATCTAAAGATTTAGAATTCTTATCTGGGGGTCCTAACATGTTTTCTCAAGAATACAAGTTTAGGCGTTCAGGAAAAGTTGAAATGTTGGATTTCAGAATATATTTCACGAAGATGTTGTGGACAAGGGTCAAAATCTTGCATTTGTATTTCAAGAATGTGATTCTTGTATCTCAAAATATTGACATTTTATCCCAAGAAACAAAATTGTAATCATTAACAGTCGAAATTAATATAGTCCGACTGTAAATTTCTCAGCAGAACAAGTTGAAAAAAAGTGATGGCGAATTTGTGATGAATTTCTTGAGTTAATTTCATCAGGATCTTGAGGTTTTGTCTCCATCTTAACACTTTTAGAAGATGTAAGATTTTAAGTCAGGGAAAATCTCGATACTCTCGGAGAAAATGTGCATATTTTTAGACTGACTTTCAAGTTCTAAAAGTCACCTCAATGTCTTCCAGTTTAATTGTTTTTTTTATGTCAAAGAAAAATTTGAGTTCTTCAGAAAAAGTCAAAATCCTGAGGTAAAACCTTAAGTTTCTAAAATTTCTTCTCAATATCTTGACTTTTATCATTGAAGTGGGAAGAAAGTACTTTCTTCTATACGTTTTAACTGTTTCTTCAAATAAAAGCGCAGATTTTGGGGAAGAAACAAAATTCTACCTAAGAAAAAACTAACGATCTTGAGATAAAAATTCAAATACTTAAGATCTTGAATGCTTATCGTCATGTCTTAACTTTTTCTCAAGAGGAATGTTTAGATTTTACCAAAAACATCTCAAGATCTTAATCTCCAAGTAATGAAAGCTTCTCTGGAAAAAAACAACTGTCTGGGTCATGTGGAAAAAAGCCAAGATTCTAGAGAAAACGCCAAGATCTTGAGAAAAAAATCTTAAGACCTAAATTGAATAAGAACTAGTCCAACAGTGACACTTTTCTATAAACTTTATATTTGAGATAATCATTGTTGCCTCCTGGTACTAATTTCGATCTACGAAAAAACCAGCATTCACTGCTATACAAATTTCCATGATTTCCTGAATTTTTCCCAAAATTTTGTGGTGCTATCTTGTCGAGGTTTGAAATATTTGCTGAAGATAAATTCACAAGATTTTGGGAAGAAATCGGGATTTTTATCTTGAATATAAATTCTCTAGATTTTTGAAAGGAACAAGTTTTTTGATTTTAAGAAGCAATTTGACATCTTGAAAAAGTAGTCAAGATGTTGAGATTAAATCTTAGAACTCCAAAATTTGTCCCAAAAATTTTCACTTTTTCCTGGAAATGAAATGTCAAAATTTCGAGATGCAATTTCAGGATTTTCATGATTTTTAATTTATCTCCAAATTATAGCTTAAACTTTGAGAATACAAGTAACATTTATCTCGAAAAAACAACTTAAGGAAAAACACAGGTTCTTCTCAAGGTTTTGATTTTTTCTCAAGATAAAAGATCATTTTAAGAAAAAATTCTCAAGATCCTAACGTTTCTTCACTAGATCTTGACTGTTTTCTGGAGTTGAAACACCAAAATTTTGCTAAGAAATCTAAAGATGTTGAATTATTATCTGGAGGTCCTAACATTAACATTTTTTCTCAAGAATACAAGTCTGGGCGTGCAGGAAAATTTGAAATGTTGGATTTCAGAATAGATTTCACGAAGATGTTGTGGAAAAGCGTCAGAATTTTGCATTTGTATCTCAAAAACATCATTTTTGCATCTCAAAATATTGACATTTTATCGCAAGAAACAAAATTGTAATTATTAAGAGTCGAAATTAGTATAGTCCGACTGTAAATTTCTCAACAGAAAAAGTTGAAAACTTAGAAAAAAAGTGATGGCGAATTTGTGATGAATTTCTTGAGTTAATTTCCTCAAGATCTTGAGGTTTTGTCTCCATCTTAACACTTTTAGAAGATGTAAGATTTTAAGTCAGGGAAAATCTCGATACTCTCGGAGAAAATGTGCATATTTTTAGACTGACTTTCAAGTTCTAAAATTTACCTTAATGTCTTGCAGTTTAATTGTTTTTTTATGTCAAAGAAATGTTTGACTTCTTGAGAAAAAGTCAAAGTGCTGAGATAAAACCTTAAGTTTCTAAAATTTCTTCTCAAGATCTTGACTTTTATCATTGAAGTGGGAAGAAAGTACTTTCTTCTATACGTTTTAACTGTTTCTTCAAATAAAAGCGCAGATTTTGGGGAAGAAACAAAATTTTATCGTCATGTCTTGACTTTTTCTCAAGGCGAATGTCAAGATTTTGAAAAAAACAACTCAAGACCTTAATCTCCAAGTAATGAGAGCTCTGTAAAAAACAACAGTAAGGGTCATGTAGAAAAAGGCCAAGATTCTAAAAAAGAACGCCAAGATCTCGAGAAAAAATTCTTAAGACCTAAATTGAATAAGAACTAATCCAACAATAACACTTTTTCATAAACTTTATATTTGAGATAATTATTGTTGTCCCCTGGTACTAATTTCGATCTACGAAAAAACCAGCATTCACTGCTATACAAATTTCCATGATTTCCTGGATTTTTCCCTAAATTTTGGGGTCCTATTTTGTCGAGATTTGGAGCATTTTCTGAAGATAAATTCTCAAGATTTTTGGAACAAATCAATATTTTTTTCTTGAATATAAATTTTCCAGATTTTTGAAAGAAACATGTTTTTTGATTTTAAGAAGCAATTTGACATCTTGAAAAAGTAGTCAAGATCTTGAGATTAATCTTAGAACATCAAAATTTTCACTTTTTCCTGGAAATGTCAAAATTTCGAGATGTTATTTCACGATTTTCATAATTTTTAATTCATGTTCAAGTTTTAGCTTAAACTTTGAGAATGCAAGTAATATTTTATCTCGAAAAAACTTCACAATTTTCTCTTAAATCGCAGAATATCAAGAAGTTGAATATTTGTCTCAAGCTTTTGTCATTATTCTGAAGAATTTGATCTGAGAAAGTTAATATCTTAAGTCAAAAATCCAAAGATACTGATCTTTGTTTCAGAAAACGAAGTCAAAACGTTGAAGGGAACCGTTAAGATTTTGGGAAAACAATCTCAAAAAAAGAGCAAAATTGATGCTAGGAATGATACGTTAACATTCCCATAAATCTTACGTTAGAGATAAATGAGTTCAGTCGATGTCATGCTTATAAAGATGTAAGAACTAATAGTCGTCTCTGTCACCATTTCTGAATTTTCGACGCATTTCTTGACCTGTTTTCAAGTTATCGAGAGATCTTTAGAAGACGCTACATTTTAGTTTGAAAAAGTTGAGATTAATAAAAATTAATTAAAATTTTTTAATCGTCTCTTAAGGTTTTGACTGGTGTTTTCAAAATCTTGACTTTTTTGATGCAAAATTTCAATACACCTAGGAAGGCAGGATTTTTGTTCAAGAAAAAACTGGAACAAATCTTGAGAGTAAAATAAGAAAGTCAAATAAGAAGGGAATGTAATAGGGTCCAATTGGCAAATGAGTACTTTCATGTTTTCTCGACGTTTCATGACCACCAAAGTACAAAAGAATAGGTGTTCTGCTTTTTTCATTGCAATTTATATTTTCTATGCTTATTTTTATTTGTAGGGGTTATCATAAACTAGACAAAATTTTTCAAAAAAAAAGTATTTGTTCAATTCTGTCTAAATAACTTTGGATCATTTTTTTCTGCATTCAAATTGAAAATTCACTGTTTTCATCGAGTTCTAGATGAATCGTTGCTAGATAATCATCCGGCATCAACCGTAGAGGAAAAAATTGGTCGAAAGTTATTTCGACAGGACTTCCCTCGCTTCTGAAGTACAGTCCAACAAATACTGTTTTTCTGAAAAATTATAAAATTTGATTTTGCGGAATTTTACTTTTTCGTTATAATCTCTATGGATCAAAAGCGATATAGAAAGTATTAATCACAGTAATAGAAAAAAAGTAAGTTTCACCTTCTTAAAGAAAGACATTTAGGGCCCCTAGAAGATTTCACATTCTTAAAGAATCAGACAGACAGACAGAGAGACGGACAGATAGACAGACAGAAACGGGTGACCTATTTTTTCGTACTGTAGGTGTCATGAAAGGTCGAGGAAACGTAAAAGTGGGGAGTCGGCCGACAGATTCGATTACAATACTGACTTCGTCTACACTCGGGAAGTAAAAATGTTAACTCAAAGATAAATCACAAGTATAGACTATATTTTGCACAATTTAGAGAGTATTTTTTCGACAAAGTTATGACACGACGTCATCAATTTTTTGGGGGTATATAGAGATATATTTTGATTAAAAATTTATCATCCCTGGAATAACTCCAAAACATCTGCAAGGTTTCAATGCATTCGATTTTACAATTCTTGATTTAATCAGTAGAATAAATTGAGTCATTAATTATATTTTTTTTACATCACTCTGTATAAGCAAACCGAAAAAATATAAATGCAAATGCAATAATTTCAAAAATGTGCGGTA